ATTCCTATGATGGTTGTAATCGCATATCCTGCTTTGTTTTCAAACAAATCTATTTAACTTACAATTACTGAGCGTGACTCAGGCAACTGCCGGCTCGTTTGACCGGAAATTCCTGATTTATTCGCCCCCCCCCCCCCATATGTGTAAATCCTATCAGCACGCCAAAAAGTATTTTATCTCCTTAGCTTCAAAGTGCACTTTGCAATACTTGGAACTGAAGACTTATAAATTTCTCTAGGATGTTTACACGGCTTCAATAAATCCGCTTATAATATTGTTGAGCATTGTGCATTTTTTTTATTTTCATTTTAGAGGTAGAGGCAGCTCCTTTGTTTTTATTTTCTATATTTTTTACTCCTTTGTCCGAGGACCTATTCAAATGAACAATAGAGAACAATTTATTATTTCGTGTAGATTTTTATTTCTGCTTTTTTTATATCTTTATCTATACTAATATTATAAAGAGGAAAGATATGTATTTTTGTATGTTTATGATTCACGTAAAAACTGCTGGGCAGATTTAAAAAATTCTTTCAACATTAGAAAGGTAATCTATCTGTAACATAAGCTATATTTTGTTGATTAATTTCACGCGGGCGACGTCGCGAGCTACAGCTAGTTATGTATAAACTAATTGTCGATTTCCACTATCGTTATTGATTCCTTTAGATTCTTTATTCCTGTAGATTTTAGCTTTCTATATCAAAAAATATTTATTTCTTGACTCGTCCAATGATCGATACAAACATCCTTACACAATATATGATAATATCTATGTGTTTCAATATATGACATTGTGTGTCCAATAGTAATAAAGCTCGCTACACACGCTCAATTATATATGAACAGTCCGCTCGTTCAGGTAAATTTAACAAATCAGGGAACTATTCAATTCTTAGAGCGCGCTCACACCTTTGACTGTTTAGTCTCGCTTTGATTCCTATGAGCTTATATGGAGGTGACACACTACACGATTTTTAGTTGTGTAGCCTAATTTAAGTCCCTTTTTCTTTACCACCCTTTTCTTATAAGGAGAGGATGGGAAGGGAAAGTGGATTTGACAGAGGAGGAGATACATAGGTAGTGGAAATATCCTCTTTATGTGCATCTCCTTCTCTGTCGGATAAGGGTAGGCAAAGCATTTGCAATTGCGGAAGTCTATGGGCAGCGGTCGCTTCGCCATTTTGGCGGATTCAAGTGGCCGCTTGCTCGTTTGCCACCTTTTGTTATAAAAAAAAACTAAACAGTTGAATTGGCTGCGAAACAATCGACAATCGCAAAAGAGTTGTGCGTTAGTTTAGTCAAAGGTGTGCGCCCGCTCTTACTTTTGTTAGATGAGCGTCTGTAGCAGGCTTTAGAAAACCGCCGCGACGTTGCTAATGTAACAATGCGAGTTGATTGGCTGTAATTAAATGGTAACGACTGTTCTCTATGGCAGTGTTCACGGACATAGCTTGGCAACACCAAATGTATGTGTCCAGAGGTTTCTAGTACTTTCTTACGTCAAATGTTTATGCAAATCTAATAAGTGCATTGCAAGTAACGCCATCTAGTGTTCACCATGTAATCGTTGCAATTAATTAATGTCATTTTCCAATCGTAAAATTCATGCTTGTTAATGAGTGCAATGTCCAATAAAATGAGTATTTTATATGATTTGTTAAGATCTGTTTTAAATAACCATTATGTTCTCTCTCTCTCATCTCACACACTTAATACCGTAGATACTTCGTAGTAATATAGTTTTTACTAGTTAGTTATATACGCGATTATAAATTGTAATTTGATGATAACCAAAGGTCCAGTTCTGAGGTTTACAACCCTGCTATTCTTACGTATATAAACTTCTAGGTATTGCTCGCGGCATCGCTCGCTTGAAATTAAAAAATATAGCTTATGTTACTCATTGATTACGTACCTTTTTAATGGTGAAACATTTTTGAAATCGACCCAGAAGTTTTTTATTTATTTCAATACATACAAAATCCAAAAATATAAATCTTTCCTCTTTATAATTTTAAATTAGTATAGATAGATATAGTTATAAATTATCGTTAATTCAAAAATAAACAAGTACGTATTAATTTGTCCTAATAGCCATCTCAACTGATTATAGTCGTTCAGTAAACTTTAGCAAAATATTGTTATTTTCGTGTTTGTATAAGCGTAGTGTATGCTTTGGCGTATTCCTCTCGTGGGAAATCAACTTTAATGTAACAAATTCTGTTTGAAAGGTCATTTCGGTTTGTACTGTACTTAAAGGTCAGTCAGTTGAGTTAAATAAGAACTTTGTTAGACAAAATTCAGTGTTTTTGTTTAAATAAATTGCTAAATTGTTTGTTTGTTACTTGGTAATAACAAGGGCGGATCCAGCTTTGGCGCCAGGGGGGGTCACGTAGTCGTGATCAAGTGTTCAAGTCAAGTAGAAGTCAAGAAGAAGTTCAGTTCAACCCTCCCCCCCCCCCCTGAATCCGGCGTTGGGTAGTAAATAGTATAAAGTTTGATATATTTTTGATATGTTAGAAGTGGAGTTAGTTATTGAAGTTTTCACTATTGATGAGTACCGTAGTGAAATGTTCCGAAGGTCCAAGGGCCCCTTCTATGATTAATTTTAATGCAATCTCTTTGGTTTAGATTTATGGAGTTTTATAAATATAAGTTTATTAAGGTTGGTTTTTTCGACCTTAGAAGTTAAACAGGTCAAAGTCGAGCCCACAGGTCGTCTATTTCACAATATTAAATTTTAAAACGATTATGTAAGCAAATGGTCTTGTAAATGTTTTACGGAATAGTTCTTGTTAGAAACGCTTGTCAATCTAGTTTCATATAAGATATTGTAGTACTATGTTCGATGCTAAGTGGGCTATGAATTTGTTTCTTCAACTGTCAATTTTCAGTGTTTAATAGTATATTTAAATGATACTTCTTTGTTATTGAAAAACCATCAATACCCATATTATTAATTGGCAAGAAATAAATAGTATATTTGTAATTAGGTAGGAAAAATAATAAAGATAACATAAAACAATATATTTATTTCGAAACACGCATTCTATTTCGGCATAAATATAATTGAATTGATTTATGTTATTTTTAATATTTTTCCTACCTAATTATAAACAATTAAAATAATGAATATAACACACTACGTGGTGACGTAGGATGTCAGTAATAACAGCATTTTTGGATAATTTTCTTTGATAAAAATCTCTACACTTCCGACACGCTTTAGGCTATATATTTACACGCTATTAAACTTGGGGTAAATAAAGTGGAAAACACCTTCATATGGGAAAGAGATCATATGCTGTCAAGATTAAGGAAGCGAGGTTATTATGGTAACAATTATTTTGACATTTCCGAATGAGAATATGAGAAATGTAGACAATAAAATAAAGTTTTTCATAGTTTCATGCGGATGAAGCCGGACGGGAACACCTAGTATGCATAAAGTGTTATAACACACCTGCATTTTTAAATATAACAATGTTCAGAACTGTATAACTTACGTGTGTTATTTACTATTTAGGTAGTGACACTTTAGGGATACATCCTGTTAAATACCTAGTGGGAAATATAAAAATATTTATTCGTTGCTATTTTATCATACTGTCATACTTCCTAGTTATATTATAAATGCGAAAGTTACGATGGATAGATGTATGTTAGAGTTTGCAGCCTAAACGGCTGAACGGATCTCCATGAAATTTGGCACAGGTTTAGAGCATAGTCTGGAACAACACATAGGCTACTTTTTATCCCGGGAATAGTTACGGTTCGCCGTGGGATTAATTAATTTAGTTTTTTAATGTTATCTCGATCATTCTGCAACGGTTCAACATATCTTATTGCAATTTGACACAGATATAAAACAAAGTCTGGGGTACACATGGGATAAGTTTTATCCCCGAGAAATGTCCGGTTCCCGAGGAATACAAAGATTTTTGTTATTTATATAGTTCGTATGTTTTCTAATACCACGCGGACGAAGTCGCGGGCAACAGCTAGTATAATTATAAATTCATGTTATGATTCATTACTTTTTGCCTACGAGTATGAATGTACATGCAGGAAGTGTGATTTCCTGCTTGTTTATGGAGGAGGTATAGAGGTCACTGTCGGGGCGCATACGCTCAGCCTTCTGAGATTTGAATTAAGCGCATCCATCGATTTACTTATTTCATGTAAATCTTACTTCTTACTAATATTATAAATGTGAAAGTTTAGATGGATGGATGTTTGTTAGAGTCTATTGCCTCAACGGCTGAACGGATTTCGATGAAATTTAGCATAGGTGTAGAGAAATAACAGTTGTTTTTTTCCGCTTGTCGATATTTTTCTATGTAAATTTGTTCTATTCTACCATGAATTAAATTCTATTTCGGGATCATTTTGTATATCTGGTAAACAACTAGCCTGTGTCCTGTATAATCCAGTTACGTGGACGTCGATATAACGGTTCTTCCTGTAAACCAGTTGTTTTCATTTACGTAGATTGAATGTATAATATAACAGATTCATAAGCATCATTGTAATGTATGTTGCGATTTATTTTTGACTCTAACATTGAATAATTTGAAATGACTTGATATTTTATCCTTGTTTTTTTTTATAATATAAGGTGGCAAACGAGCAAGTGGCCACCTGAATCCAACGAAATGGCAAGCGACCGCTGCCCATAAACATCTGCAATTGCAGATGCGATGCCTACCCTTAATTAATTGTTTCCACTGTTCTATTTGTATATCTACAAATCTTATATTTCTTTTGTTTGTGGAAGAAACAAAAAACGACAATAGCGTAATGATGTCTGAAACGTTCTTATATGAGCCCCTAAGTAAAGCCCTTTGAGGCTCAATTTAACAAAATACGGAATTTGACGGCGTTTGCCGATAACTCCTACATACATCGACCACGTCCTGCATTGTCTCCTTATTAGTCCATCGGCAAAGCTACTACTCACTAGTAATAAACATTAATTGTATTGTTGATTGTTGCAGATACCTGGATGTGCGTCGGAAGATGGGCATTGTGTGTGGTACGGCGTATGTACTCAGAGCCCTTTTACTATCTACAACTGCGCTTATAATGGTACAGCGCAACCCATAGACAATGCGTCACTGGTGAGTAACAGTACACATTAAGCATTTTCGGAATCGGAACACAAATGTCAGAGTAATCGTAGATAAAATACCGATCAAATTTAAAATCTTATTTTTTAAGTGTTTTAAAAATTAAATAATTGCAGCTAGTTATTAATGTTATGGGCGCCCCAAGGGCGGTGCAAGTAGGTCACAGGGTGGCGTGCGTCCGAGGCTATATTTAGCTATATGCAGGCTACGTCATTACAGACCCAGTTCTTTGAGGAACTAGGAACTTGACCCGGACCGTTGGCTAAATTTAGTATCGCTCGCAATTGTTGTGGTTTGCATAGCAAATTGCATATCGGAAAAAGTTTTCTGACACAATTTTGCGACGTTTATAAATTTGAATTTAATCATAATTTATACAACGGCTAAATATTGAAACGTCCACATATACTCTAAATTCCTTAAAAATTTTGATGTCTACTAGATTATATGTGACGCTTACGAAGCGAAATATTTCAGATTCGTTTCAGTATTAGGCCGGTTTATCCTCTTTTGAGCTATTTGAAAAAAAAAACTTAGATATCTAATTACGATATTTCATTTCACTAAATGCAAGAAATTGTTTTGCCATTTTTAACGTCTACGTTTCTCATTTGTTTACTCTAAAAATTAGCCATTACTATACATTATCTAAATGTTATCTTGAAGTTAAATATATTATTTGATAATTTGTACAAATTTACAATACACTTATAATGCGTCATTAATTCAATGTTTAGTTTAAAAACGTGAGATTAGATATTTTACGAGCATCTGATTATTTTATTGAATGTAAAGATACTATCGGTTACAGATTTTCAATGTAGAGCTTTGTTTACAATCTATTAAAGATATTATTGACCCTAAGTATAGAGAAGAGGTAACAGCAGTTTTCAGTAACAGTTTTCTTTGTCTATCTATCAGTCTTTGTAATTTTATGACCGCACCTGTGTTTAAAAGATGTTTTATGAGGTTTTTTCTAGTAATTAAAATGGATTTGCATCAGTATTCGTCTAGTAACGTACTTAGAAGCCCCGACCAAGTTATTATAAGATTTTCCGCTTCGTTGATCCCGTAATACCAATCAAGCCTTGCTTTGCGACCGTACTATGACGTAAGCGTTTGTCATATAAGCAACGTCCTTTGGATTGCAAACGATGCCATTTTGCTTTCCGTTTCAGTCTTTGAGCGCGCGCACACCTCTGACTAGGTTATCGCCAAGTTTCGCTCATTGCTCGATTTTTAGTTGTGCAACTAGACAGTTGAATGGGCAGCGAAACAATCGACAATCGCACAACAGTTGTGAAGTTTAGTCAATGTTGTGCGCTCGCTTTTAGAATGTTGTTGTCAGGATCATCAATGCTAGCTTGTTGTGTCCTCAGTAAATAATAATTTGTACACAGATTATCAAGATATTTTTAATGCGTTCTGTCAGTTTTTTTTTATGAAATGGACTCGCCAGCTAAGTAGATATCACAAGAACTTAGTATCTAAACTTCGTTTGAAATCTAAATTGAAAGTAATGCTTTTCTTGATTACCATATGAATAAATGTCCTTAAATATTTCATCGATATGTCGTCTAAGACTAAATAGAATGTTCTAGAATGAACGTAGAATATACTTCCTTGGTGCAGTAACGCGGCGAAAGTGGGTCGTGCCTCGCAAGTGATATCGCTCAAGTCAACAGTTCGACGCCCGATGATGGCTTGAGTTTTTTCTGAAATAGTAGTAGTAGTTTCTGAAATCCTATCTTATTAATATTGTCGTTCACACAATCCATTCATACTTACTCTATCTTGTTTGTTTCGGGACGTCTGATTATAAATTAATTAGGAAATAACCAAAAAATATCTAAATGGGTTTGATAATAATCGTATAGATGAGTCAATAGTATTTATTTAATATTTCACAGAACGTTATCAATGACACAAATGGCTTTGTAAAAACGTGACTCAAGTTGACGTAATTTTATCTAACAAATACTAGTAAAAATTTTTTGTTGTCATCAAATTTTTGGAGAATAGTTTTTAGAAAGTTATGCATAGAAAGGTTTTCATTTTGTATAATTTTTAGTAGAGTTTATACTCGTGGATTTCCCGATTGGATATTTTTTACTTCATTATTTTCTAGTCTTGTAGAAATGTTTTTGAAGAATTTATATCAATAGTATTAATACACTAAGAATCTGTCCCACAATTTTTGTAAATTTTTAGATAACAATCCAACATAAAATATGTGAAATATCGTATTTTGGTACTCTATCTGACAGTGACGTCACTTTTAAGCTGAACCTGTATCAGCCAGTGGTGGGACAGGCCCTATTAAGGTATGACCTCATACCCAATCTAATGAAAATTGTGTCAATAAATATTTGATAAATATAAAACCGATTTACTTGAGACTATGACGTATATGTTTTACGTTTTCCTTACCACAGATATTTCTACTAAGATTTACTTTTTTAAGGTTCTAAAATTTGTAACAAAGTATTTTTGGTACGACCAATAACTTAACACTTTAAACAGGTTTCTTTAATTACCTAACGAATATTAGTTTGGTAGATGATTCAGAGTATACTCATTTATACGTACTTCAATAGTATTCTGTACAACGAATATGGTTTATAAATGTAAATTTGTTTGACTGTAACAAAAATTCGTGTATTTAAAAACATCCAACAGAATGACATTGTATTCACGATGCGAAAATTTAGATGGATGAATGGCTGTTTGTTAGAGTTTGTAGCCTAAATTGCAGAACGGATATCAATAAAATTTGGAATAGAGGATAATCTGGAAGAATACATAAGCTACTTGCTTTATTGTTTTTTTTTTTTAATTCCACGAGTACAGTTAGCAAATAATGTTATCACACAAAACCATAGATGTTTTTAAAACATTTAGAAATGTCAATATAAAAAAATATACTTCCGTACTTTGTTCCACATCGGAAGTATTTGTGGCAATGTGTCATGTAGCTAAATATAATTGTTATGATTTGTATCCAGAGGCGCAATTTGTATGTTTTTGTTGTTGTGGTAGAACTTGGCATTGGGCCTTGGTAGCGTGTGTAACACAACGTCACTATAGTATCTAGTTTAGCTAGATTTGATTCTAATCGTAGGTTCACGATGCGTTAATATTTATATTACATTGTATCTCTCATTTTCTTTGGGTAAATTGAGATAGCGATATGTTAGTGATTTGCATATTTGCAGACTTTATTCGGCTCTTCATTTGTTACTTAGCAGAAGTCGTTCTGCCACACTCCTGGTCGGTTTTCCACCTACTTTTAAGGATTCGTTAGTGTTATCGTTTCGATAAATTCATGGAATACGTTTCGTAATACGCAACTAGTGTTTTAATCCGTTGAAACTTAATTCAACCTAATACTAATGAATCACTAGACAACGATAAAATAAATGAAAACTTCAGCAACCCAGTACAAACCCGACTAGAATAACATCAAATGCGTTATACCACTGAGATAGTTTAGTGACGTGATTTCTTTTGTCCTAACGCAGTTTTGTTCAGACTCACAATTGGAAGGAAGGACATAATAATTAGAATTCCATTTTTAAGATGCCTTAATATGCTAGATAGTTTCTTCAAGTTCATCTTTGGTTGCCATTTACTAATAATTGATTGTTGATCTTATACGGTTTTTGAATATTATGATTTTAAATGGGGTTATATTTTTTTACTTTAATGAACTGTTAGAGTCAAGAAATCAGAAAAATGTCCAGATGTTAGAAGTGTTTTTAAAATATGTCAGATCAACTTTAAACACGAAATGTTACTACTTACTTAATATTATAAATGCGAAAGTTTAGATGGATAGATGGATTGTTAAAGTTTGTAGCCTAAAGTGCTGAACGGATCTCGATGGAATTTGGCATAGATGTAGAGGATAGTTTGGAAGAACACATAGGATACTTGCTTTTGTTTTTTTTTTTTTAATTCTAGAAGCTAGTATTGCAATAAATTTTCTAGTAGAGCGATTCCTCTGTTCTCTTTTGTACCCTATTTACATTATGTATTAGCATAAATTTATATTCTTGGCTCGGGGTGGTGTTTGTGTTTATTATTTATAATACGTCCTAATGGCGAGACGTATTTCGTAGAAACAGTCCTATTGTGCATTCGTGGGGCATGGGTTCCTAGAAAGTTTTCGTGCAGCCAAAAAATTGGCCAAGTTAATAGGAGTAGGTCCTAATATGTTAGAATTAGGGCCTGTCCCACTAAATTGTCTGATAAATACTCGTATCTAACGTGTAAAATATGCGAAGGAAATATCGAATTTTGTTACCTTATCTGACAGTTACGCCATTTTTAAGCTATCGGAGCCTCTAACAGCCAGTGGTGGGACAGGCCCTTGTGCTCATTTTTATTGTTTACTATATATTTGAATATAATGAAAATGTGTTTTTGTACAAGTTTTTTGGCGATGGTAATTTAGAGATATAATTAATTATTGCGTAGTAACATAAGTAGGACTTAAACGTCGATATCATGTAAATGTATCTAAAACCAGTATTTGAGTGAAGAATAACTTGTTTTATCAGTCTGTTCTTATTTCTTAAAGTGGTCGGAATTGTATGGCTGTTGTTTGACCTTACAAACTTCCCGATTTTAGATGTATAGATTTTTAATATGTATTTGTTTATTGTTTGTACTGTGTGTATATTTCTGGTATATTGCTGTCGTCGCAATTTTTATTTTACATAATATATTTTCCGGTATTATAACCGGTATTCTGTAAGCAGAGAATACAAAATGGCGTATTACGATAGCCAGCGCGTTGCCAAACAAACGCACGCTTGCGAAACTTTAGTACGATCTGCATTTAGTTTGATTGGTGTTTTGATCTTGAAATCCGCCATTTTATATCTGCAAATAACGTAGTTTTTGTAAACTATGAATATACACTTGAAATATATTGTACAGTCAGCTGCACAAATATGTATACGTTTACAAGACTTGTATAGGCATTT